TGAACGGGCATTATCTGCTGGGTTTGTTTTGTCACGGCACAGCTTTTAAGGAAAAGGGAAGGAGACAAAGTAGAGGCATGGAGGCGGCCTGTTAAAAAAATGGAAGAAACGAAAAGTGGCACCGTTGGTGGATTTGAGGATTAACATCATCTATAAGCGATACTGACGGTGAAAAGAATCGCAAGCAAAGAGGTTTGTGCGTGATGCAGCAAGAAAAGGAGAGATGCAGCGAGCAAGAAGCTAAAAGAAAAGGACAAAGCGGTCAAAGCAGCAAACCAGGACAATAATTTTTGGAGGAGCACCGTGAATGCGTACGATTAGCCGGGGAAGATGGGATTTCTCAAAGGAAGAGGCTGCAGGAGCTCAGGGAAAAAAATGATGAAAGCCTGTGTAACAGTTGTGTGTGAACAGTGGAAATGAAAGATTAAAGATTCAACCCAACACCGCAGCAATGCCCAGTGGCCCGCCGCGCTGGAGTCCTACTGCAGCGAGCTGTGTTCAAGCAGGGTAAAATAGGGTCTCGACTCCAAACAGCTGAGAGCAAAAATCGGCAGGAAATCAGCACGCAGAGCTCGCGTATCGCTTAGCACCTCGCCCAAAAAGCGCTCACCTTTGAGAAACTGAAATTAGGCAAGGAGCTGGTCACCGGCCGGCGGCTTCCGAGTGCCGGTGAGAAAATACAACAGGGAAACCCAGAGCATAAAGGGACCCTAAAGCCAGAGAAGTCTGGGATGCAGTGGAAATACTCCTCATGCAATTAAGCAAATCAACCCTATTAAAGGACGATCACACTGAAGAGTTATTATCAATCACTCTCCCTTGCTTTCTTTATTATCCTAATTGCATAAAGGCCATGAAGCAATTGTTTTGATAACTGGAGCTTTGTTACTGGCTCTCCGGTTTTGGCGTAATTTTGCTCCTCATATAAATACCGCCTTAAAGCAATATTGAAAGACAGCTTTAAGTATGAGCAGGAGATTCAAATTTCTGTGTAAAGGCGTAAACCATAAAAATGATACCCAAAAGAAAATTTGCATTTTTATCCCCAAGTGTCAGGCTCTCCCTCAGTCACAGACCTACGCCCAAATCTTCTAACGACATTTTGCCGTAGCTGTATCAAGGCAACGTCACGGATTTAGTTCCACTTTTTTTATTATTCAACTTTTTATACACAATAAATACAAACTTTTTACAGCCAATATAAAGAAAGCATTTGCACCTATGCTTTCAGTGTACTGACGCTGTACACGATACGTTGAATACATGCCCTGTATGAAGAAATCATAATTAAAAAGGAGGCATATTTTTACAACTTTTCTTCTTTTTTTTTTTTTTTTTAAATAAAATTAGCAGCTCTTACAGAAAATATTTTAAAATACAACTAAAGAGACTTTAAATAACACTTTCTGAATTTTGAAAGTCCAGGTATGAAGGACACAGAAAAACTGGCCAAAGAAATTGAACATGAACGTTATGGCAATACTTGCTTTTCTTCTGCATTGTGAAGCTTTCAAAATTTTTGCAAACAGTTAAATCTTTTTTAAAAACTTTTTTTTTTTTTAAACTTAAGAATAAGTTTGATAAACACATAAAAAGACCTCAAACAGATCAACAGGACAAGAGGTGCAAAAGAATGAAAAATATGGAAAAGACTTCATTGGACAGTCACTGATTTCATAACTGATCCATGAATTGTTTTCTTCAAACAGCCCCACTCTTGGTTAAAGATCCCACTGGGAAAGGAGACCGGCAAACATGAATGTCTCGGAGACCCAGCTTGGGTTGGGATTTACAAGTATGTGCAAAATTGATGATGAAATCTTGTTAGGTGATTTTTTTTTAATTTTTTTTTTTTTGTAAATGCAGCCTCAAAAAATAGCCCTTGTTAGTAAACTAAAGGTAGACTGGCTTAAAAAAAAAAAAAAAATGAAGACATAAGAGCGCATTCAATAGAACTCATATAACAGCTCAAAAAAACCAACCTTGTGATGCCTTTTAACTGGAGCTTTGATCTGATGGAGAATGCTGAAAATAATTTAGCAAGTACACAAAGAAAAACCTGTTTTCATCCAGTTTTTCCCTTTCCTCTGACCACTTCTCTCCATGTCAAACCTCAGAATATCCTCTGCCCTTTTCTTTTCAAACAACAACAACAAAAGCGTCCTTTTCAGAGATCTCCGATGGAAAATTAGTTTTGAAATTCTTTTACTCTCTATTTCTTGCCTAAGAGTAATTTGAGACGATAATCTTGGCCACAAAGGTGGCCTGAAGGCTTCGCAGAAACCAGAGCTTTTCCTGGCTCTCCCGCTTTGGCTAGTTAACGGGCTTCGCACGGGAAAACGCTACGGAACCATCCAATGCAAAAACTAAACAATGCATGTAAATACTCTAAATGTAACTTCTAAGTCTAGCCGGATGTTTTGATGACAAAGATATACTGCTAATGTTGGATAATAAAGTACACGGCAATAACTGGGATAAGAGTGACCCAAATAGTTTAAAAAAAAAAAACCAAAACAACCAACCAAAACCCCCAAAACCTGCTAAGAAAAAAATGAAGCTCAATTTCCAGATCTAGACAAAAATCTCACTTACTTTTCTACCAGTTGGTTTATGCTATGGAACAAGATGTTGCTACTAATTCAGCACCTCCATATTAGATACTCTATTACTAAATGTACTGCATAAATATTAATACAAAGAACATTTAGTTCTGTTTAACTGTTAATTATTGAAGAGGTGTGCATTAATGGAATTAACGCCATATGATCTGCATCAGTTTTCCTTAGCTATGAGATTATTTTCCTGTTTCTTCCTTTCTTCAAGGGGATTAAAGAGGAGCCAGCCTCTCCTTATACTTATTTTTTCAGTTCCCTTTTTCATTCCGCAAGATCTGATTAATACCTAATCAGACAAGTAACGCTACTCGAAGAATTGACAATCTTTAACACATTCCTATGGCAACAGTAATATACTGTACTAATGCACGTGATCGAAGTATGCTGTGACTAAATCGCATGAATGAGGCTCTTTCCTCAGCCTCCGTATAAAAATTGACCATCTTCAGCCAAGAGAGAAACCTGCTCCAAGGCAATCCTCTGCTCGCTGTTTGGCCCGCCTCGGTTTGTGCTAAGAGAGGAAGAATGATGTATATAAATCAAAAGAAAACAAACAAAAAAAGGCACAAAATAGTCATGACTGTGGGAAGGAATCCACCATGTCACTGCCACATAAAATCCTTCCTATCTCTTGCTCTATTAAAAGTCTTCATCATGCAAAGGTGCCTAAAAACGAGATTGACCAAATACCGCGTTTGGTCTTGATTGTAGCACTACTACTTAACTAGTCCAATCATTACACCAGAGTAATTTCCACGTCCTCTATCTTCTCTGTTGTCCGGCGATGATGCTGCGTAGGGGGTGGTGGAGCTGCTCGCACCTGAAACAGCCAGAAGCAGCCCGTAACTATCAGAAAACTGTCAAAATTTCAGAACTCGTATAGACCTTAAACTGCAACTTCGGGCTTCTACCTCAAGATGACGCAAATATACAGATTGTATATTAAGGTCAACAGAACTACAGGGAGTAACCAGCTGAATTCAGGTCCAGCAGTCTCCAATTAAGCCATCAAGGCTCTTCCTTATAAACTGGCACCACTCTCGGGTGATTTTTCTCCAGGATGACCAGCAATCGTGACGGTGTAAACACACCGAGGGAAATAACCTACCTATTCTGCCCGTACCCGCGGATAATCTGGTACATAAACCTGGGACGGACTTTGGACCTTACATCGAATGCTGAAATCTGATGACGCCCTTCCCTGAACTTACGTGGGCTGGAAACTACGAGAACGCCTTGTTGCATCTAAGCAGCTTACTCGTATTTAATCAATCACTGACCTGAACGATACACACCTGAAATCTGATGCTATTTTTACACTCTGCCACATCAATAAAGTTATTATTGCTCCTGACAGAGATCACCGTAAATGCTAGCAGAATTTATTGCGGGGTTTTTATCACATGATTTCATAACACACCAGAGTGACTTGCTATGGAAAACATGAATTGTGGAGCAATACTAGAACAAACTTCACAATATTTTCGAAGCAGGCATATTTAAAATGCAATACTAGGAGAAATCCTTTTAATTAAGGCATGACACTGTAGTCGTATCTTGAAAAGTCAGTCAGTTGCAAGAAACTCATGGAGTAAATGTAAATCTACAAAATGGAAAAGCTGAATCAGCATCTTTTTATAAGGGAATAAGGTAAGGTGAAACTTCTCTGTTCAATACTTAAATACTTAACGATGAAGTTACTATCTCTGCCTTGCGTATGTCAGTGAATTAGGCTAACTCACTGACTAGTGGAATATTCAGAATATAATCTTTGAATATCCAAAAATGCTCTTTTTCTGCAACCTCATTCTTTGAGAATGCCAGGAAAAGACAAATGTTACATCTTAATATGATTTGGTTTAGGACTTTGAAACCCCCAAAGCTTGATTTCAAAGTTAATCCTAGGAGATGGATTTTGCAAGTTCTAAGCAATTAAATTCTTCCTTTCCTTTTCTCACAAAATCTCTCTTGCTAGGCAGCAAAGACATCACAAAAAATATAGATCTTCTTGTTAAGAATTTTTAATCCAAACCCCTCAAATCAAGGGGTTCGGAAATAAATTTAACCCTAAATGCAACGGAGTCCCAAGGACCGCATATTATGTCAAACTGCTGGCAAGCAGATTTGTCTGCAGGACGTTGGAGAAGAAGCAATTGTACAAATCGTAGGATTAAACTGTGCCGGCATTTATTCACCACCTCTTTTTTAGTTCTTGTTTAGAGGTTATTACACACGGCAAGAACAGAAACAACCTCCCAATGCCTGAAAAGGCAACGGAAGTTTATCGACTAACAGCTATTTCACTATCATTATAGATGTAATTTCCTCCCAGGCTAGATTTCACGATTCACGTGCCTCACACAGAGACATGCAGGTATTATTACATCTATGAAGGCAGACACAGAAGGGCAGCTTAGATGAAGGAGGGGGGATGGATAAGATTCAAGGTCACCTTTAAACAGTGACTTACTGTTTAAACAAGCGCAAACTTACTGTTTTGTTGGCTTCATTGCCATAGCTCTCATGTTCTTACAGCTTTTTGACACATCTACGGTGTTATCAAAGGGGAGTGAACAGACCTTTCCTCGCAGTATTCATCCGAGATACCGCATTTTTATACGCAGTAATTGGATTTGCAGAACACGGAGAGCCAAACCGTCAGGTGCTGCATCACCACCCTGCTTTGAAGGCACCTAGCTCGATTTACCTAGACTGGGCCTTATAACTTGGTAGCACCGACAAAAACCAACAGGATTTGTTTTTAACTTACAGGTCGCAGTTTGCCATATGAATTTTCGGGAGGAATTCGCGGAGGCTGTGAGAATCCAGGGGACTCTGAATTGAAGCTGTTTTCTGAAAGAGTAAGCAACAACCCATCACAAACAAGCCACCGAGTATTGCTGAATTAACTTTATGTTGCAAAAAAAGCTTTTTTTTTTCTCCCCTCTGAAATGTGAACAATCTAAATTAAGCATTTAGCTGAAACGTTTCTTTTACTATCTCAAAATTTCTTACCGTTAGTTGATGGTGATCTGGGGAAATACTGAGAACCTCTTTTATCCGGACTGTGGTAGGGGCTGGTGGGAGGCTGGTCATACAGCGGCAGTGGTGGAAGGGCGTTATTGGGCTTCGGAGTCGGGGATACCTGTGTTAAAAAGAGAGAGGGGCTGCAGAAAGCCTTACTCCTCGACAGTTTTCATGTACACACCGAGGTGCGGTAAGTCCTCTGACACATCAGTATGCTAGGAACTTCCATCCGGAGAAAAACTATCTGTCAAAAGCGCTGTCAGGCACACTTGGGAAGGAAAGCCAAGATATCAAACAGTGATTATATGTTTTTTAAATTACAGGTTGCCACTGAGCAGAAATTTTCACCCTCTCCCAGATAATTTAGACAGACTTTTTGAAGGTTATTTGGAAAAAGTCATTTGGCCAAGTGTGCCTCTCCACATATATTCACACAAAAGCGTTAAGATCATGAGTTTTATCCCAACTCAACTGCATATATATCATTTAAATGTTAAGTTTTCACGGTCTTCTCAAATCAAAGAATAAAAATACTGGAGAAATTACTTTGTAGGAACATGGAAGTCCAGTTTCTAGCACTACAATTACACGTGAGAATGTGTCTGATTTTCTAATATGATATAAGGATTACAGAACTATACTGAAATGAGGACATTTTTGCAAAAATTACTGTAATACAATCTTCAGTACTATTCTGCCCTTCAAAAATTGAGAGGATACAGAGCAGATTTAAGTATGAAAACATTAAATTAGGGCTGAGCGAGCCTGTAATTCTCTTTTTGCCAGGTTCTGTTTGATGTCTCAGTCTATGCCATAAATTAATTACAAGAAGTAGACTGAATTTTCTCCTTTGGTTCATCTCCTTTCTACCCAAGTACTTTGCTTTATTCACAAATCTGTTACATTTGCCAAAATATATCAGTTGATAATTATTAGGCTGGGTAAGAAACTAAAAGGTTTTTTTTCATTCTTAAATTGGTTCTGATTTCTTTTTTTCCTAAAGAAGCAGCAGATCTTTGCAGCCTTGCAAAATCGCCCTAACAAACTACTATCATACGTGCAAGGTAGCAGCACAACTCGTTACATACCTGAATATCTCCAATCCACTGAGTCTCTCCGTTTTCTGAGGCTGTAAGCTCTTCAACTAATACTGACGGGAACACCCCAACACGTCCGTTGAATTCTCCTTCCCAAAAGCCATCATCATCTTGATTTTCCTTGTTCAAGATGCGGATGATGGCTCCTTCCGGGAAGGACAGCTCATCGTCTGTCTGACCCTCGTAATCATAAAGTGCTTTTACAAAACAGACTGAAGAATGGAAGAGCTGGGGAAAAAAAAAGTGGAATTGGCATGAGCTTAAAAAACACAGTTAAGTGCTATACATACTTCTATGGTTGGACTCGATAATCTTAAAGGTCTTTTCCAACCTAAATGATTCTATGATTCTATAATTGCTGAGTCAAATTATTTTCGTTTTCCTTAATTTTAGTTAATCTTGACTCTATGAGATAGCCCAGTAAATTACGCAGATTTGATATGAGATAGGTAATTACTGACAACAGTTGCACACAGATACAGGTCAAATACAAGCAATTCTCATGTGCAACATCCAAACTCGATATGCAGAACGCTTTTGAGAACAAGCTTAATGTACTATTTATTTATTTATTGGTATTTACCACTGGAGTCTCCATTCAGGCTGCCTGAGACTAAATCAGCCTCAGTGGAGTTATTTGAGGTGTGTGATCGACTATCCAGTGCCGCAAGGGACTGCAGCATACTCAGCAGACTGCTGGATGTCGGGAACTGCAGGTACTTCTCCGGCACATAACCCACTTGGCCCGCTTTATTCCGTGCCTGTAAGTAAACGACAGAAAAGATGCTCTGCTTTTGCATACTACTCTGAAAAGAATCCAAATAGTTTCTCCCGTCCCCAGTTCTATTTCTAAAAGTGATAGTGAAAAGAAAACAATCTCAGAAGAATGATACCTTTACCCAGTCTTCCATATCTCCGTCTTCAATAACCTCCAATACCTCATGTTCCTCTATGGTCAATTCATCTGGCTGAGAAGCCTGAAGTATGTAACAGGAAGATCAGAAAATAAGTGTTTTCAGGTGCACGGGACAGGCAGTGTAAAGAACATTCTCATCCTGAATTTTATGAAAACTTACATTTTTTTAAAAATTGAAAAGTTTATGATGTAGCATACTTTAAAACATATTAATAAGGGTTCTTCTGAATACCTACTGACATCCACAAGACCCTTTTTCACTCAAGAGGACAGATGGAAGCACCCTGAACACCACCCAGCGCGTCAAACCCTATTTACTTTTGAAACCCTAATTACTCTGTACTCTTAAGACTAAGCCTGCCACTGGCTTCGGCTACCGCAGCGGTGTGATTTACAACCAACCCAGCAGCACTAGCAGAAGTAAATAGCGTGAATGCAGTTTGTCAGCAAAGCTTTTAACTCCTAAATGGTGCTTTCGCTATTCTGATACAAAGAAGAGCTTTGTTGTAGAGCATACAAGCACGCCTAACGCTGAGAAGGCATTTCTAATGTAGCCCCAGCAGCTCAGCAACAGAAATTACAACATCTAACGGCAACTGGTCTCCCTGAAGCCAAATGGGAACATCTCTACATACTTCAATTCATGCACGGACGTCAGTACTCTGCTGAACTGCAGCAGAAATGTGTTTCACAGCGTCATGAATTTTACACCGCTGCAGTCGTTCACAACTACATGTTAGATCTATTTAATGTGCACCATTATTGAGCCAAATGCTGACGTTCTACCTCAAACTCCCACAGAACAGTTAGATCTATTATTTGTTTGTTGCATAATTCATTTTTCTTATCAAATTAAAAAAAAAATAAAATCACAAACCTTATATGAATAAACAACTTTGCAGGTGAGAGGATAATTTCTTAGAGTACCAGAAGGACTAGAACTACTGTCATCAAAAACATCCATGCTGTCTTCAAACTCTTCACCTTCTTCCTTTTCTGCATCAGCATTAATCTATTACAACAAATTAAATATGGCATTATACCATCAAATAAAAATAAGTGAAGAAATACCAATCAAAATGAACTGATCAATACTCTTCAGTGTGGTTTTTTTTTACTACTTACGATTATTGAAACGGGACCAAAAAAGCAATGACTAAATAATATTCAACACAGAATTCTCAAGTAACACCAGGAAAGCAGTCATCAAACAAAGCAAATACAAAGAAGCGAAAGAGTAAGAGCTGTCACCAAATTACATCTTTGCTTAACTCAGCTGTATTTCTTCATGCAGGCACAGGCCTGTGGACTTTAAAAAGAACGGTAGAAGATTTTGGAAGCTCCAACTCAAGTGCTGGACACCTATCTATTTTATATAAGCTGTGAAACAGTGACTAATGTACTTTGGAGATGCCATTTCAGAGGCACAGCAAATAGCTTAATGGAAAAAAGAGTCACTTACTGAGAATTTAGGCTATTAAAAGATTAATGTACCTGTGACCATGAGTTATAAAATGAAACTTCAGTGGAAATGCTTCAACTTGAAAAAAATGTTAAAAAAAAAAAAAATCAGCCTTCCAGCTGATATATTCTGCACAATAGCTTTGCTGCAGTTTATGAAAAAAAAAATCCTTCAAGAAAGAATAATGATTAAAAACTAGCTATAAAAGTTTAAATAAAAACTGAAGTCAATACTCTGGAAAAATACAAGTTTCTATAAATGTAGCCTGGGCAACGTTGACATGAGCTGTGCTTTGGCCTTGTGCCTGGCTTAAATTTTGAATAAACACTTTATCTCATGTGAAAATAGGCAAGTCCTCTGAAGCAAAGGCAACACTGTTATGTATTTGCTATCTTCCCTTTATTTATTCCTTTCAATTTTGGAGTCAATTTGGTATTCCTTATGAAAACTAAAAGGCTGATAAATCAACACAAAGTTAGGCTGAGACCAAAAAGGCACTCTGCAGGCTCCCTAGCCCAGCTGTCTCCGTACCTCTGTTCTGGAACGGCTTTGCTCTTCTAGACCTGGAGCAGAAGAGCACAAAGCTTCATCATTTTCTGACTTAGATTAATTTTTATGTTACGATTTCTAGACTACGTCCTTGTAATTCATCTTATTTTTTCCCCACTTGCTTTCATTCAAGGGCAGTTTGCATCCATTGATACTTAAATGCGTTCACAGATGTTGTGGTAACAAAAAAAAAAAAAAAAATTGCTGTCCTACCTAGGTAATGCTTTGATATATGAACAGCCAACTATAAATTATGGCAAATTTCAGGTTTCCCCCTCTAGTTCTTAACTGCCTTTTGCTGTGCATGGTCTATGTCTCAGCAGCCAAAGCTGACATTCAGCTGACAGCTGTACGTAACATCATGGAAATTAGTGTATCATGTCTAGAAAGGCTTGTTCGTGAAACATCTGGTCCTGGTGTTCTAACAGGAGGAGGAAAAATACGTTTTAATTTTCAGTGTGTGGGCCGCTCAAACTCCTTGAATAGAATCGTTTGCAAAGTAGGCACACAGAGGGAAAACAGCGCTAATGATACAGAAAACTTAGCAGTTTTGTTTCATAAAGCTCATCTTTCTAATGGAGTCTGGTAATGAAAGACAGCGTAAGCGAAGAATAAATACATCAGCCACAATTATACCGAAGACAGAGAGCAAACAGGAGAACAAATGCAGGTAAGAAGGCATCAAGATAGCTTGATTATACCTAGGAAAAAAGGTATGCAAATATATATCTTGTTTTATTGCATATCCTGCTCGAAAAGAGATTCGATACCAAAAAAATATACCCAAAGCCCTTTTTTATTTATCCTGGGAAATGCAGAGACCCTGGCAACAACAGAGAACATGTTTATACCGAACCACCTCCAGTCCGATCTGGATGTAGGACCTGCAGGAGCTAAAAAAGGCTGAAATTTCTTGCCTATTCACTAACAGAGCGGTCTGCCGGAGCACCCAGAGGTATCCATCAGTCAGAGGCAGTTCCCAATACCCGTATTTAGGGACTGAAACCACAATTTGTTTCGCACGGGTTGCTGGTATCAGATGATCAGGCTTGAATATGAACCAGTAAGCTAAGAGTTGAAAGACGCTATGAGCTTTTACAGTTAAAAGCCATTATATCCCTTTACAGTCAAAAGCGTCCATTTTCACGTTCACAGTAAACGTACCAACGGGAAACTTCATTTCTAACTCTGCAATACTGTACTTCGACTGTACAAATCTTCATAGAATCTTAGAATGATCTTCCTTATAACTGCACCGCTCCAAGTCCCAGCAAATAGGAAACAAAACACAAACCCCACAGAGACATTATTCTCTCTTCCTTTTTTGAATAAATTACGTAGTATTTACAATACATTTGCTTTAGGCAGCATAAAGGTTTCCCAACAGTGTTAAAATCTAAGAGTAGTGTTGCATACGTTTTCCGGATGACATTAAAATTCAAAAGGACGATTAACTTTTTTGGGCATGTACACTGGGGGGAAAAAAAAAAAATTTATTCCCTCCCAAGATTATGCATTTCTTTTATCAGAAAGTCAGCCGACTGGAGAGGTGATGGGATATTAATTCCTTCAGCTCATTATATTATTGCAGCAGGTTAAATAAATGCAGTGATATCAAGCCATCGATGCTGCTTTCTTCTTTTCAGCTCTTTGAAAGACAATATATGGAGAGCTTTGCTGAACAAATTGCATCGTGACAAATACCGACACAAAAGAGCAAAGCTGTGCGGGATGTAAAGACGGCAGAGAGCTGGTTTCTGAACATTGAACACTGTCCGTTCATCAAGGATGAAGCGAAAGTGCTGCTTGTTATATGCTGCAGTAATTCTTCTAGTAATTGCAAGCAACGTAATTTCAGTAACAGTTCTAAGAATTCCATCTACGGGCTGTCCTCATCTGGCCTGCCAAGGTCAACAGCATCTTTTTTTATACGGGAGCGTACGTAAGTGTAAAAGGGGAAAATAAGAATCAGAGTTTAACCTCCCACGCTGTGGCATCTGCGGGCTCGCCAGGGACCAGCGCGGGGTCTGGCTCTGGGGCCAACCGTTGGCATGTCTGATGAGATGGAGAACAAGGTGTTGGGTGGAATCCAACACGCACAATGCGAAGTTAAAGGAGGTGGAGTATGAGAAGAAAGGGAAAAAACCCACTGTTAAACACAGCTACGTAACATAGCCTCATCTATCCTGGCTAGGAAGGATCTGAAATGAAACTTGGCACAAGAACTCCTTTGGGATTTGGGAAGGCTGAAGCCTGGATCTGCATACTCCAACTTTTATCTCTAATTATACTACTAACCATGGGAATAAAGCGCTGCAAATCACCGTCACTGTGTTTGAGCTCTGCGTGCAACATCCTAGAAGAAACACCCTAACACCCTGAAGAAAGCAAAGAGCGGATCCAGGACTCTCAGGATTTGCTGAGATGCCATTCAGCGCTCGCTCACTTTTTTGAACAAAAGTTGGCATAGAGGAAAAGAGCTGCACGTCCAAAAAAACCTTTCTCTCTAAGGGTTTGCCACTATTACCAAGAAAACAATAAAGAAGCAGAAAAGCACAAAGAAACATGGGAACGAGCAGGATTTTTTGTGTGTAGATACCACGTACTTGCTGAAATGGAGATTTTGTTTCTCTTAGGTGGTCAGCGAAAGCAAGCCATTCTCCAAATCGTGTGCAATGCAATGGAAAACCACATTCCCATTCCCCCTGAAAGTTTTGTTACACAGAAGATGTATTCCGGCTGTCCAAAGCATTTAAGATTAAAAAGAAAGAGTGAACTAAGTCATTTTAATAGTGTATGAAGACTATAGTTCGGGAAGTATCCACATGCAAATCGAGACTTTATAAAAGCCTCTGAATTTTGCTAAATGTTAAATATATAAACACACACAGAAAATTTAAAATTTGTTTCAGGCAAACTGACTAAACCTTCAGGAATTTTATTTAGTTGGTTACTGGTGAAGAGCAACAGACTGGTTAGTTTTACTGCCAAAGGTGACAGCTCAGCATCACAGGCCATGTAGGGCAATTAAAAAATAAAGCGAGTATGAGCTCTTTTAGCAGTTCCTGTTTTCTGAACAGGGTCTTTTGGTTCGGGCAGCTGTTTGATTCAGCTATCGCTATTTTTTTGAAACATATCATTCTTCCGGGGGGAGAGAGGGGAGAGAAATGAGAGTTTGCTTTTCATTCTTTCTTGAATTAGAGAAAAAATGTGCTTTCTTCCAAGCTAAACAGATGGGAGATGTCTCTGGCCTATTTTGCAAACCAGCTATAGTATTACAAACACAATTAATCTTACATACTACCGAGTAAAAAATCATTACCAATCTTGCACTGATCCAAGTTGCTTCTCAGTTCAATTTTGGGTATATTGGATGAAATTTTCGAAAGAGTTAGTGTGACTTTGGACACAGCAAGACGTATTCATGCAATTGAATTTAAGGGTTTAAAAAGTTACCAACTCTTTGGATGAAATGCAGTAGTGATCAGGTTTGTGGTCTGGTCCAATTTAACTTCAGTACTGCTTTAATGAAACTAGTTATTCATAAAGTCCAATATTTAATGTATCTCAAATAACAGGGCAGTAACTTGCGGGTCAACAGTGGTAACATCTAAATCTACGACAAATCTTTGAGGGAAACACCTAACCCTGCTCACAGGAATGGACAGCCTGTTTTCCAAAGCCTTTCACTGATTTTTAATGAATCAAATTTTCATCTCAAATATCCAAATCCATTTAGAAAATGGGCTTTGCTTTCTTAATGACTTTCACTGCGATCTGCACATAAACAACTCTTGAAGAGATGATGTAGAGTCTACGCTTTTCTAAAACGTTTGGAGAAATACAGCTTTTCATCCAAGTATCTCAGATAACATCGTAAACTATTAATGAAACTTCAAAGGAACACGCAGACATTTTTCTTTTCAGGAGATGGCAAATAAATGTTATGGCACTTATCCAAGGTCAAAAAAATCAACCTAAAGTAAACTCAGCCACAGAACCCAGAAATCCTTTTTTTTTTTTTTGGTTTGGTCTTGGGTTTGTTTTTTTTATATGGAATTGAGACACGGGCTTCAGCCACATAAAGCTACAAGATTTTTCCAGTCAGCTAACAACCAACCAAATATTATCAATTCTGTTTTCTATTCAATATTAAGTTAGGAGTTGCTACTAGGAAAGAGCCACGTGGAGACCAAGTGAGTTTTACACGCTGGGAGCCGTACCAGGTGTGAAGAGCCGTTGTTGGTCACCGAAGGCAGGCTGGCCCAGCGTTCGTTTTCCAGTTCTTCCATCACCTGGTTCATGGCGCTTTTTAGCCACGTATCCACAGACACACCGATCTGCTTCAACAGATCAAGACGGGCTTCTGCTTTCAGCTTAATTATCTGAGGAAATAAACACGCACAGGTCAGAATTCTTTCAAGATTACATTTCACTCCTTGCCATGATTCAAATGTGTTACTTCCTGATCCGCAAATTCCTCAGCTGGCTCCAAAAGCTGCTCCACACGGAAACGAGTCCAGTTCTTCATTTCCTTGCCTGCAGGAACGTGGTGCGAGCCAAGAGGTGGGGAATGGTTTTCTAGAGATGTAAAACCACAGGCACAGCCAATTTCACAAGTTGGTGTTTTTAAAATAACATCTATGCGTTTACCCTAACTTTCTATTCATATATTCTAGTGGTCAGTTAGTTTCAATTTTTTTTTTTCAAAGTGTAAAAACCCAGAAAAAACCCAGTGCTTCACAGTATTTTTAAAATCAGAGATACTCCTGGGCTGCAGACCCTGGATCCCTCTCGGCTGGTGACTAAACCGGATGCGATACACAAATAAATCAGATGCGATAGACGCACACACAAACCCACCAACCCCCCAAATGAGGCTATTTTCCATCAGCTCTTGCCAGAGATCACAGGAAGCTTATTTGTTGTGGAAGCAGAATCTTAATAATTCCAAAAATGAATAAATATCACACTTCAACAAGCAGTTTCACGATTTTTGTCTTTAGAACAGAATGAAAATTTAGGTTTTCTGACAGCTGGGTTCACTTCAGCATCCTGGCATGCTTTCTGGCCGATGGAGCCAAGGCTTTAACAAATTCATGGCAAACCACCACCCTGATCCAAATTATCTAACAATCTAAACAGAAG